CTTCTTCTTCTTCTACTACTACTCCTCCTCCTACTCCTACTACCCCTGCTGGTCGTATCACTGTCACTATTTCCATTTCAATGAGATGGCCTTCACGGAAGCTGAGCATGATGTGGTTCCTCATGAGCACATAGTACGCGCGCATATGCAGCAGCTTCCAGAGAGCCAGCCTAAGGTTTAGGGTCTAGGGTTTAGGGATAGGGATTTGGCTGTAGGGCGTGGAGTTTAGGGAGTTTGTAGTGGCTTATACAGGGGCTATGTAGGGATAGGGACGGATGTGGGGTTTGGAGGTTAGTTGCTGGGCGGGGAAATCTGCCAACATTTGGTCCTGAAAGTCGGCTCTGATGCGGTTTAGGGTTCAGTGTCTAAGGTTTGGGGCTTAGTGCTAAAGGTTTAAGGTTTAGGGCTCAGACTTTAGGGCCTAGGGTTTAGGGCTTGGCTTGGGGTTCGGGGGCTTCTGAAATTCCATTTCGCCACATGCTCTATTTGAGGGGGTGGTTAAGATGATGGTCCCTTTTGGGTATCCTGAAAATTTGGAGTTGTGTTTATGGGCACCCAGAAAAAATCATAATTAATTGTAACAACCCCCTATGAACACCGCGGCACCTAATTATTGTGCTTGATCTTTCGGACAGACCTCCTCACTCACGTACACCCAAAGATAACTCGATGAAATTGACAAAGGCATCCAACAAACATGCCATGTTAAAAGCGCCCCAAATCCTCAACCCGGAGCATCAAGCCCCAAACCTTACCAGCTAAATCCAGAACTCTAAAGCCCCAAACCCCAAAGCCCTGAATCCCGAACCCGAAACCAAAACTCAAGCCCCAAATCCGTCAAGTTGCACCGTGCACTCTACCTCAACCTCTATATATCCTTGTAAACTCCAGCTTATATAGCCCTATCCCAGTTGTTGCGTTCTCTACAGCTCGTTGCCAAACTAGGATTGTAGGAACCCTGAAAGTGTGCAGTGTACCTGCCCAGCTACTAAACTATACCCCAACACCCAACTACGGGCCCTTCGTAGGTTCTTCTTACTTGTATTTAAGATGACTTAAAAAAAGCCATAATTTGGGGACCCTACTTGGAGGTTCGAGCTGACTTTTCAGCCAATTGCAATTGTACTTCTAACCCAATGATGAGCCCTCTACATCCCCGAACCTCATATGCTTCGGATCGGGTTAGAAGTAGCAGTTACAATTAGGTTTATAAAGCTTATAATTTCTCAGCCCTTTATCCCTGCACATATACCTAAAGCCGCCAGCTTCCATTTCATGTTCCACACTCTTTTCCCTTTGGAAGATTCTTATCCTGCAGCACCCTATACAAACCGATGTGTTATGCTCATACACACCCGCTATCGTTTTGGGATATGACGACAGACCCCTAGAAGGGTTTTGGGGAGGGACCCTTCATCCCACTACCGTGTATACCCCATATATGAAGTTTATATACCCACTGTATACCTAGGTGCAGGGCATACTACCCCCTCAATGAGCTACGAGGGTCTCCATTAAAGGTCCCTCCTAAAGCCCCTAGATAATTGTTCATACTTGTTCTACAACGTCTCAAAAAAAACTAGCCACAAACCCTACACAACACCCTTATGGTTTTCTGGATTCGGTTACTGCTACCCTACACCCTAAGCCCCTAAACCCTATAAACCTTAAACCTTTGAAACCTCCAAGAATACCTCTACACACCCGAGCCGCAGCACAGGTATCGCCAGGCCAAGCACTGGAAAGATTTGGACCGCTGGCGTCGTCCAATCGCAAGCGCTCCTTTCGGTTGATACTATGGATTCAGGGTTAGGAATTAGGGTTTAGGATTTAGGGTTTAGGGTTGAGAGTGGAGAATCAAGTGGGAATTGACATGAACAATGGCATGGAAACTGTGTCTATATGTGATTTATGGGAACTGCCAGGTAGGGGCCTCCATAATTACCGCTATCATGTTGGGGTCTATTTGAGAAATCCTATGCCATATTTCATACAAGCAATCTAGAACGATACTATTGGTGCTTCTTTAGATTTCTACAGTACTCGGCTAGGGTTCAGGGCTTGCCCGAAGGGTCCTGAGTATACGATTATCATATTGCTTCCCCACACTGATATCGAATACTAGCACAAGAACCTTAAAGTATATGATTCTTGTGTATTCGACCCTAGGGGTTAGCGTGTAGGGTTTATGTTCTTGGTGGTTGAACCACAGGGCAGAACTGGAATCAAATGTAACAGGAAGGGATAATGGACACTTAGGGATTACATTGCGACATGTGCCTTTTTTCGGGTGTTTGAGCCAGGTAAGAATCGTTTCTATTTATGAAACACTACAACCAAACAAAGATATAAGCTTGCTCTCTTTATCTGTTTCTACAGTAATTATCATTTTTGAAAATGCTATTTGGTGTTCAGGACTTGTGGTTTAGGGGTTATATGGGGTTTGTATAGCAGGAGTGGTTGCATACGGGATGATACAGGGGTTTTGAAGACATGCAGGTCTTAGGGTTTGATGAAGGTTCTTTACTTGGGGCTCTGTAGGGTTTGGGCGCTGGTTCTGTTTAAGGGTAAGGTTTGTTAGGGTTTAGCGTTTTAAGGGCTTAGGGCCAAACAACCAGCACAGGGCTTGAGGAAGGGACAGACATACTTCGGCAATGAAGACGTATTACTTGCCCAGGTTGAGCAATGCCACCTGTGTAACGGGCACCGACCAAAAAAACAGTACCACTGAAACCCTAAACCCTAAACCCTAAACGAGGCAAGAATCTTGATCTGAAAGCTGTGGCCCTCACCTGAGGTGCGGCGATGAGATGGAGCCCTCCAATAACAAAACGTAGGAGCCTCCCCAAAGGATATATATGCCTATATGAGCCATAATCTAGAATCCTTAAAGGGTGTTATATAGGGGATTATATATGGGACTATTATAGGGGTCATTAAGGGGGATACTAGGAGTTTAGACTATAGCTCATATACAGAGAGAGAGAGAGAGAGAGAGAGAGAGAGAGAGACAGAGACAGAGATACAGGGACACAGAGACACAGAGACAGAGAGAGACACAGAGAGAGGGATTATGTGTCCTCTATGACGGTATATAGGAATATTAAGAAACTGCTAAGGTTGCGAAGTGACGTAGTTGCATGTAGAGAGGGAAGAGGGGCTCATAAACGAGGTATGCTTGGCGATCCAAGAGGCTTAGAGTCCGGGGGTTCAGGGTCTAGGGAACGACCGGAGAATGATTGTGGCCCTTCTGAAGAACTGTCACATGGGTCTCAATAGGTAGAGCAAAATGGTCAGAACTCTTTGTCCTAGGCTAACACAACGTGATGCCGCGGAATACTGTTACATCTCTCAGGAAGGGTGTTGGATAGTTTGACAGGGAGCGACCCCTACGGCAGCTCTCAGCGGTACTTTGCAGGACTTGCCCATTTTGTCTTGGTAGTTACTCTTGTACTCCCAGACTAGCTGCCGTCCTAGGGTTGGCGCCTCGAAGCCGCCCCCAATTTCAAGAGTAATCCCAAAGAGGAGTGACCCCAAGCGCCGAAAACGGTGCAGTGCAACAGGCAAGTACAGCCGGGCGTCAATGCATGAAGAAGCTTGACTCCTGTCCTTTGCTGTCAGCCGAGCTATAAAACAGCCTCAGTGCGATACCGCGTTGCGCTTGGAGGTTATGGCTTCGTGCAACTAATCATTCAGTGAAGAAAAGGCATGAAGCAAGTTCCACATGTTATTGGTGGGGATTTGCTAGCAGCCAGTACTGTTTCATCACATTTCCTATGAGTACAGTATATGCCGTGTTTAATACGGCGTATGCCCCCACACGTAAGGGTGGGACCCTTACCACAATGACAGCCCAACACAACACTGAATGACAATTTTCTGGCATCCTACAACTCCCATGACCATGCTTCAACAACCCTTAAATAGAATATGTGAGGGGTTATATTGGGATAATGGAAAAGAAAATGGAAACTGCTATAGTAGATTCGGGGTTATATTGGGACAATGGAAAAGAGACTGGAAACTATTACTTAGGGTCTAGGGTTTAACTCTGAAAGCCTTATTTTGTTCAAGCAATTCCTTTGTAATGAACGCCTTCACGAGTCTAGGTAGCCATGAAACTTGTTAGTGCAACCGAGTGGCCCCTAGATCCTATAAACTATAAACCTTAAGTCCTACATGCTGTAGCTTAGAAGCCTGAATAGGTTGAAACCTCATCCCCCCTTCAGTGATGAAATCTTAGAGCTTAGGGTTTAGAGGTTTAGGGTTTAGGGGCTTAGGGTACCTACCGCATATTTCGCCCCAAAACCTAACCATAGGACAGTTTCCATAAGTCGGGGGACCCCTAGTTTACCCAAACTGCTATTATCTTTATTATGGAAAACCCTAAATAGGCCCGGAATCTACTAAGCTTGAAAAGTCAAACCTCTGTAGGATAAAGCAGGCTGAAAATTCTACTGCATGCGTGGGGACCTAACCTGTGCTGCTGTTAAGGAACTTAGGGTTTGGGGCTTGGGGTTAAGGAACTTGATATCGGTATATAATAAGTCACAGGGCCCCGTATACTAGTAAGTTAGTTCAAGTTCCTTAACAGCAACCCCGTAAGTCCTATACGAAACCAAAACCAGGAATCCTGAGTGGCAATCTTGGTAATCATGTAGACCCCTGCAATACCCTCATACGTATCACATTTAGGTGATTTTGCAAGAGGATGCCTTGCTGCACTCAGAAAACCCTTGTGATCGCCTAAACTTAAACCCTAAACCTGAACACGGTAAGAGTGTTTATTTATTTTGTTGTCTGGTCTTTTTTGTTGTTTGGGCTTTTCGGGTGTTATTTTTTTTGCTGTTTGGGCGGGGGCGTGTTTTTTGTT